CACAGAAAAGCGTATACTTTTAGTCCTTCCCAGGGGGCGCTGAGGGAGTCGACTACCCCGGCTTGCAGATCCGGCACAAGAGATATGAAGGTCCGGACCTGGAAGTTCTGGCCAGTGGCAAACAGGTAGATGTTGGGACAGTCTGGGATAGAAAATCAAAGGCTTCTGAATGGAGTTTTCACTCTGTGGGAGCTACCTTGTCTGGTCTGGAGAGGGTGTCCGCCAGGATGTTGCGGCAACCTGGAATATGTTGGACTCGGAACTGAAGCTACAGTTGATCGACGAGCTGGAAGAACTGTATTGTCTGCCATAATAGGGAGGAGTGGGTCATCCTTTGACTGGAGGCATCATATTATGGAGATGTCGTCTGTGGATATTGTGATCCGAGTGCGCTCAAGTCCCTCCTTTCAGTTGGAAAGAGCTGAGATGAGAGCCTCTTGTTCTAGGCTGCTGATGTGCCACTGATGCCAAGCAGCGGACCACAGCCCCAGATGCGCTCCCCAGTCTTGAAGAGAGGTGTCAATGAACAGGTGTAATGAGGTCATGAGCTCTTTCAAGGTGATGCCATCTGACTCCACTGTGCACCATTGGAGATGTGGTTTGAGGTGGTCGTGGAGGACGATGGAGACAGACTCATTCTGGCATCTGATATAGGGAGCAAGGAACATTTGTATAGGCCCCAGTTGAAGCCTTCCTGTGGAGGTCAGGTCCTGCGCTTACGTGAGTAGACCCAGAAGTGCCTGCCACTGTCTTCCGTCATATCATCGCTTTGCCTTGCGGTCTTCACTCCCTCCATGGGAACGGTCAAGGCGTGGCTTCAAGGTTCTGGAAGATTTTCCCTTTTTCCTGCCAAGAAAGGGCCAAGGTGTCATGACTGGATGGCTAGAGGTAGTTCCGCCGAGGCTGATAGTTGCCTGATCGTGAAGGCTTGAAAAATATGCAGTGAGAGACTTGCACCAGGGCCTTAAGGGCCGTTTTGTCTCTGGCGTTGGAGACACGGTAGTGTGTGGCAAAGACTTGGCCATTGAAGAGGGAGGTGGAAGACCAGGGCTGACGTAAGAGGTCTCTCTTGAACTCTTGAGTCCCACCCAGTGAGTGCCATGTAGCCAAGTCATCAGGTAGTGGCAAGCTCCACCAAAGCTGTACCAAGGTGAGCCCACATGTGATCAATTTGGCGCTGTTGGAAGAACATGACAGTGCCAAGATAGTCAAGATGTTGAGGGTTATCCTCAGAGTGGCTCTAGGGGTAGACACCAAAACAAAGAGGGGCTTCACAGAGCGATGTATCTCCGCCTTGATGTATGCAAGTCTGGTGTTCGGTACATGGACAGTCGTGGAGCATTTGGACAGAGTCATGCAGTGCCAATCATGGATCGGGAAGTCTTGTACTTGGGAGCCTTGAAGGAGGGGGTAATTGAAAACTTCAATTGAGGGAAGTCCTCATCCAATGCTGAGATCATATATTTGATCATTGGATGAGGAGGGAGGGATGAGTGAGTGAGTGAGTGAGTGAGTGAGTGAGTGAGTGAGTGAGTGAGTGAGTGAGTGAGTGAGTGAGTGAGTGAGTGAGTGAGTGAGTGAGTGAGTGTGGTTTTACACCGCTTTTAGCAATATTCCAGCAACAACACGGCGGGGGACACCAGAAATGGGCTTCACACATTGTACCCATGTCGGAAACCGAACCCGGGTCTTCAGCGTGACAAGCGAACGCTTTAACCACTAGGCTCCCCGACCGCCCCGATGTTGGATGAGACCATACAGTGTCCTTTTTCTACACATCAGGTCCTGGAGAAAGAGCGCCAGTAGCAAGGCGATCCGCTAGCCACTCAGGAACCTGGTTGAGGTAAAGATGGGAGTCCACATATGAGACAGCACCATCATAGGCAGGGAGGAAGGAGCCATCTGACAAGTCAGAGTGGGTGGTCTGTAGAGTGCCAATCTAGAGAGCGGCGTCTTGAACGGGATGACTTGCTTCCACTATGCCCTGATGATGAACCAGGAGAGGCAGAGCCGTTTGACAGGGTGGAACGACCATAGAGGCGCCACGGAGATCTGAGACCATAGAGGCACCATCAGAGGTGCCGAGGGTGTCACTGAGGGAGGAGGTGCCAGTGTGCTGGAGGCGCTGAGAGCGTTGTAGAAACGATGGAGGACAGAGTACAATTGACAAGGTGCTGCGCACCAAAGTATAATCCGCATTCAGTTCTAGGGTATTCATTATTTTGGAGAAAACATTTTGTTGGATATTATGCGCTGAATAAGAATACACTGTTCCCCTATCACGAATGGGTGATAAGAAACTTGGTCAGAACAAATTTGAAATAAAAAAACACCAGACATATTGATTTACCATTTAAATTGCATTTCTGTTCTGCTAGGCAATGTTTTACATGCAGAGATTAAGATTACCTTGTGTATTTTTCTCGTAAACTAAGCAATCAGCTGTAGACACGTTTTCTTGGAATCTACCGGTGATTCGGTTAAAATTACCCAATGATATAACTTGAAAGGATTTTGATGCAAGGTTCGGGAAAATTTGAATCTGAAATTATTATTTTTATCAGAAATGATGTATTCCAATATCGTGTTATTTTAGTTGCAGCTTTTACAATATATATTTAAAATAATAATAACCATAAGCTTATCCCTATAGCCAGATATTTTTTTTTCACATGGAACAGTTTGACCAGTCACTGTCGAGGCTCCCGCGAACTATATGTTGACATACAATCGTCAAACTACAACAGTGTGCAGGAAAATACGGTAAATACGGTAATCCCGGTAGTCGGAGGGATCCCGCCTGATAAAGAAATGGTCATGGCTGGTAGGCTCGGACAAATATGACATCTTTCTTTGTCGACGTTTCTGGGCCTGCTGTGTTCGGTTTTTTTGTGATACCTAGAGGTATTTCAAGAAGGCTGTAGGGGAAAGTGGCAGTCACGAAACATACGTGACACACAATGAATTCAAAATGGCCAATTGGGAACAACACTATGCCTGATATTTACCGTGGCAAACACCACCTACAGGCATAAAATATTAATGCTTAGGCAGAAATCATAAGATATACATATGAAGACACAAACCCTTAATTAGCAGAATAAAAATTACAATGAGCAATAGAGTTGCAAAACCATGCAAGGTATTCAATGGATTAGGCTGAGATCTCAAACAGGTGCCTATTCTCAAGAGTAATGTGCTGATCAGTGACGTCACCCCTTCCATGGTCACATGGGAGCTGTGTGATAGGATTAGCCACAAAACAAGTTGGAACAACTTCTTCAGCCAGAACTCACACAGCTCTTTCTCTGTCAAGAACAAGCAGTAAATGCATGAAGGAGTAATGCAGGATAAGTTAAAAAACTTTAACCTATAACGGTTTCAAGTAACTAGCCCCAATTGTAACAAAAATATGCAAAAGTTACTATAAATACGGCCTCCAATTATGGAGAACCTTATAAAGTTAAAGTTCACAATAATGGATAGTTAGCATAATATAAGAATAGTACTCCACTATAACCGTGGATATAGAGCTAAAGATATTTACCCCTAGCCAGCCATAAGATAAAGAAGGATATTTGCGAAGGACCGCGACACATTAGCAATCCAAAATGGTGGAATGGAACAACGGTGACTGTGTGTGAAAAACTATGACACACTGTCACCTTCACGTGCTAATAATACATATCATGGCATATAAAATTCACCAAACCAGATACCACCCATCACAGGGGGAAGGACTCGGTTTTTTTATAGAAGTGTTGAAGGTCACAGGGACAGCAAACAGCGAAAATTGAGGACCAATTAGCAGCACATGTATTCTGTATGGTGACCAACAATGATATGAAGAAATCAGTCGTCTACCACTTACGGTATGACATGGCTAGTGATTGCAGGTGGGTCCTGCTTCAGAATGCAACAACACTTTTTTTTCCTCAGCAGTATCAATCATAGCTTCACTTTGTCAAAGGTAAACAGTGCATTAAGGAGTAATGCAAGATAAGTTAAAGCATTGTGATATTTATCAGCAGCCTCCTTACATGAGAAGAAAAATCATTCGCTTTAACAGTTTCAGAATGTTTATATCTCAAGGCAAAATAATAACAAAAAATAATTTTGCATATGGCATATGTGTGGTTCCTTACCACTTCAATACTGACCAGTTTTTCAGGTTGTCACATGGGACCTATCATTACACAAGGTATCAACAAATTGATATAGGCTACAAATTTAAATGTTTTAAAACTATCGATATTTGTTGAATTTATAGTCTTGAAACCAGTTCCACTGACAGATTCCAAATGGTTTCATTAATATTGATCACTAAATGACTTCTAACTTCTGTCAAGCCATGCCATCAAGACCAATTGCGCTGTTACCACACTTGTTTTGTTTCGTATTCTTAGGAACTATCAAATTATTGAATATAATCAATTGCTAAAATCACCATCTTGAAACCAATCCCTTACCACTTCAGTCATTTCAATGAAAGTAAAAACATTAAAGAAAGCATGCAACACTGGAGGGACGACGGTAAGATGTCCTGTGCAAAATCCAATGAAATAACGAAAATGCAGCATATGCTGCTCAGTGGAAGTAGGCCAAAGTGACCGGCCACTGACATCATGAGATTGTCATCGCTTTGCCATACATACATATTCAATTGATATAACCACTAAATACATGATATTTATGATTTTCTGCAGAAAAGGGCATTTTAGTGAAAATGGGAAACATTCTTTTATAAATGACCTCTGTGAAGTTTCATTGATGTACAGTTTCGTAAATGCTTCTTGATGTATCCCTTAAATTAATTTTTCTTAAATCTATAACCTCCAGGATGACTTTGACATGACTGGTCAATGTGTAAACAAAAAAGTGACCTCATATGGAGGGGACTCAAAATTTAATTAGATCCAGACGACATATTTAGCAAATACATTAGGAGCCTCGCTTAACACGGAGCTGCTTAATAACTTTCAGAAACATCAGCATCATACCAGATTGTTGATCTGATCCAGGAGGTTGTTGACATCCTGACTGTACATGAGTCCAATGTGAGACTTGCCCAGCAGACGCCGTACCTTCTTCTTCACCTCAGTCTTGTGAACATTCATCATCACCATGAAGCCCACCAAGTTGTACAACATATGGGCCAACAGACGGTCCTCATCATGTTCCAGACGTTTCCGCTCCATGTCACCAAGAGACCGATACCTGAGGAGCAGTGGTCCAATAATTACTGTTGAGTGTTCGTAGTATATAATGCAGCAGTTTTGCATGCTTGATGAGAGTACGAATCCTATCGATAATTCCAATACTTTTCACTTACCGCTCTATCATCTCTGAGGGACGTTGGTCCATGCCAATGATGTCTCTCTCCTGTGCCACAGCATCTAGAAACAAGTCCTCCCAAAACTGCATCTGGTCAAACAATCGACTTCTACTTTTGCCTGCAACACATATCACATACTTTCAAGTCATGGTATAACCTAGATTTTATTTAAATATGACTTCCTTTGTACTACCATTTGCTATTGATATCGACAAGCCTAAAACAAATGTAATTCTAGAAATAAGATGTGATTGGATTTACAATAACATGCACCAACCTAGCAAGCCTTCAAACAGGTATGTTTTGTAGAATTCCGGGTTCTGTGGACAGCTTGTGTTGATCATCTTGCCTTCACTGTAGCGAAATCCTGTACTGAGATTGCTCTTGGAGCTCCAAACACTTGGAGAACGGTTCCTCTTGCTGTGACGTGCAGACTGCTGCAATGTTAAGTGAGTGAATGAGTTTGGCTTCATGCCTCATTGAGCAATATCCCATTAATGTAAAGGCATGTCATCTTAATGTATTGGAAAGCCAGAAGAGTTACCACTTCGGAGAAATCCATGATATGAGTCTGGCAGGCCTTCAGAGGGCAAATTCTTCAAAAAGTGCCCTCCAGCTCCAGTCATCAGAAAATTATAAGCCACTTCTGGTTAGATCATATCACAGCTAGTTTAGGAAAGTGTCTGTTTTAATGCAAAACATAAAATTCCCATGCCTCTCCTTTTTGCAAATGATATTACAAAGTGAGGACTGTAAAAATCATGTTCCTAGGGTATGTGCAAGAGGATTATATTGTCTCTCATCATGGTGATAGTTGGGTATTTGGGGGGAAATCAAACAATCGTTTCCATAATCCTGATTTTGTAATCAGAATTTCAACATAAGTCCTCTTCATTGTAAACTGGCCATAATAAGTTGAGCAAGCAATAACATAGAGCTGTTAAGAACCCTGTCGCATGCGCAAAGTGGGAAACCTCCGCAAGCCAGAAACCTCACTTCTTTCCAAACATTAGCCAGCTAGAATGGGGATAATTGGGGAGGTGGGAGGGATTACTACTGACGTTTTGTTTGTTTCTTGTTTAACGCTGCACTAAGCAATATTCCACCTATTTGATGGCTGTCTGTAGACAATCAAGTCTGGGCCACATAATCCAGTGATTGACATCATGAGCATCGAATTTCGCAAAGTGATGCAATGACATGCATCATATCCAAGTCTGCGAGCCTGACCACAAAGTCCCATTAGTCAACTCTTACAACGACTCATCCTAAAGAAAAACACACAAGCTTTCTTTTCAATTTGCCTTTAAAAAAATCATGACAGAAGCAAATTGTTTTGTTTATGTTTTTGTTTTGAAAACTGAATCTGGCATGTAACTTCAGACTCAGAAATTATTTCATGGATGGTTAAAAAACACCCAGAACCGTCGATGTACTTTCCTTTAGGAGCAGCAAGAAACCTAATGATTAGGACTGTACTTATTATCTGATTTCTCAGCTTCTGATTGAACGAAAAAAACTAGGTAAGCAGCAATATGCCATTACTTAGCAGTAAGTAGACACAAGTAGACGTATATCAATCCCTATTTCATTCTTGGATTATTCAGGTGACTAAAGGTTTTGATGTTAAAAGTAGTCCTTGTGAAATTGGCCTACAAACTCAACTAATCATAAGCAAGAATAAACAATTTCTACTTCACAGGGCTGCTTGAGAGTAAGTTGACTGACCAACATAGTAAGTATGTGGCAGACAACAAAAACAGATAATGAACGGATTACAAAACTCTTATTTTTAACAAGTGCAATGACAACATTTTTCAACTTTATTATTTCAACATCAAAACATTCTTCATTATTAAGTCAAACATTAAAGTGCAAAGGCCAAATCAAGATCAAACTTTAAAAGAATGGAGCACTGCTAACAAAACAAAAATGGCTGAATATTGGCCATGAAGACAAAATTTGATTAGAACCTGTCATCATTGGTGGGAAAAAGCATGTGAAGTGTTAGACTGATTGGTTCAGTGGTTTCTAAGGAGAGTATGTTCACCAAGCCAAGCATGCATTTGAGAGAATTAAGGAGCACAATCAAAGGGAAAGGTCAGATCAGGGTAAAAATATATCTCCCCATCCCCCACCAAAGACAGAAACATCTAATAACAGTCACCAAAAAGTTTTTAAATATTGCTGCCTCCCTAACAAATTCATCATCATCATCATCATCATAGAACCCTTGGCCCACCTAAAAGAAATCCTAGGTTGATCACCGACTTTTTATACCCCATATCCCTTTTGTAACACAGTGATGAGCTAATCAATATTTCAGAAGAAAAACGTTTGATAATGTTTTCATTAATCGTTTAGTAATTCAATTAAAGTTTTCTACACATTGGCTTCCATACATTCATGTCCTTACCCCAGTTGAGCCCTCCATCTCACTGTCAGACAAGGTTCCCCTGATAGAGTGATGATTGATTCGACTCCTTTTTCGGTTCTCATCATTGTTGTCTGAGCTGGTGCTGACCAGAGTGCTAGCCTCTGATATTTCGGAGTCCATGCTGTTAAACTTATCTAGTCTGCTGGTCTTAATCAACTCTTTGTTCTTGACAAGTTCGTGCATCATGTCCTCCCCTTCTCTGGAAGAGCTTGTGTCTGTCACAATGATATCACACGTTTGGGCCTGTGGTTTGCCAATATTCCTGTTCATGTCTGTCATCTGTGGGCTGAGGCCTGTTTGTCTGGCAATCCCTCCATTACTTCCTCCAACTCCAGAGTTTTCCGAGTGGCCACTGCTGTCTGACATCACAGGGATCTCTATGTTCTCAAACTCATCGCCATTTACAATCACGGGAGAACCTACACAAACATGACATATTTATACATGGGTAAGATAACACACCATATGAAATAAATTCAAATCACGGCAAAAAAGGTTACTGCACAAATATACAAATAAAACCAGATAATCTAATTAAGTGTTTCTTAGGCACTGCCACATGCTACAAAACTGGCTTTTGTCATAAATTGGGCACAATGATCAAAACAGACGTGCCATGTCAGTACTGAACCACATCCTTCATTTTCAAAGACCAGCCTTGTGGGTTTGTTGTTGTCACATCCGCAAATTGATCTTCTCTAACTAATGAAACTTCACATGCATTCCCAAACTCGGCTTTGTCATTTGGAGAATCCGATTGGAAACTCTTGGACAGACAAGAAGCAGCAAACTCCCCAATGCTTCAAAACATTCCCATCAGAAAGATGTACCAACTATTTTGTCTGAACCAATCAGGGTGACAGCTGATTGCAAATGCAGTACAGCTTTGTCCAATGCCTCTAGTTACACTAATATTATGCACTTTCAGTTTAATGACATCACTATCATGAGACTTTAGTTACCTTCATAAAAAACTAATATGCAGTTCCAGTTTATTGACCTTGTTTAAGCTCTTACAAATATTTCGTACAAGGACAGGGCTGGTTCAGAACACAAAGAAGCAAAACTACCTTAAGAATGACCAATCCAGTGACGTTTACCTTCAATGTTCAGAATCTTGCTCAAGGCAATCTTAACACCACCCTTTGACCCTTGATATTACATATAGAGGTTATAACGTGAGTCTGTTTGGGGATGGTAGATATCCTGCATTAGGAATAAACATTGTATTTAGCGAGCCTCGGCGAGCTAAATACGTAGTGTTTATTCCTAATACAGGAGGATATTTACCATCCCCAAACATACAAGCGTGATAACCTCTATCATATAATGTCATTCTTTAATTCTGTGCTTGAAAAATCGCTTTCCCTCTCTCACAAACATTACTGAAACATTGCGAGTTTTCCTGGAATGCGCGCATTAATATTTATTATGTCACAGGGTAAGTGATGTGTCAGTCGGACAGTGACAGAAGCCAATATAGTTCCAACTGAAATCTGTTTTTACTTGCCTTTCGCGGCAATCCATCGATCTGTCCACTACAGTACCTGCCCTTTGTCAAAGAGAAGCTACTCTAACCCTAGTCTATGAGACGTCACGGCCACGTTTAGACATTGTTGACAGTTGGCCTGTCCTGCCATAACTTTAAGTGCAGTCAGATGTACACACACCGACAAAACAAAACAAGGTAACAATTCAAACATATTCCCACCAAATCAAACTATTTTAATTTGTGGAAAAGGTTTCAAGCCACAGAGGTCGACAAGCACAGATATGGCTAATGATCCCACTTGGCTAGGCCTAGTGCCCTCGCAAAATTGTTTCGAAATTTATATCTCCAAAGTTGCCAAAACTTATAAAATGCCTTAGCTACGTCACAGTTGGATACTGATTTTCACTGATTAGACTGTTTTTTTGATAATGATAGCAATTATCCCTTTAGTTTATCCAGATTCCCAATGGTTAATTCTGACTCGATCTCCGAATGACAAGGGGGACGCCATGTTTGTTTATAAACACTGAAAGTAGTCCCTACTTGACCTTTGATATTTGCATCTCTATCCGCATATGACCCCAACGGATATCATTTTTAACCATTGGCTTTATCCTGCTGAGAAACCTACCCATAATATGATAAATTAATTTATCAGAAATATTTCCCAGGACTATAATGGAGATACTGTATGCATGATATGATATGAGATCCCTAAATGTCCCTGTGCTGCATGGTTTAAAAAATAAACCATAAAACCATAAAGCTTTCCCATTTACATTGGGCTGATACTAATTCAGGGATCATCAGCTTTATTGGTCCAGTGGTTTCTGAGGAGAAAATGTTTACACATGAAGGCCAGGCACTGTAGCTCACCTGGATATGTAGTCATCAGTTTGAAAGATCAACAAAGTCAGCAGATTCCTTATGTTAATAAACTTGTCAGAAACAATTTATTATCAAGTTTATTTACAACTGTAACAAATGTTATATTTGGGGTAACACTTTCTTTGTAAAGTACAAATTCTAGTACTTCGGAAGCCTCAGTGGCTGAGTGGGTTAGATCACTGACTTTGTGTGCTGGCGAATCCTGGATGGGACTCAATCCAAAAGCACTAGAATTTGAATTTTATGAAGGAAAAGTGTCATCCTAAATCTAACATTTGTTACATTTGACCACATTCTAAATGGCATTGTGTATTCATTTATTCATAAACTACTGCAATGCAAAATTGGAAATTCTGCAATAAATTGTATATCTATATACTTATCCTATATCACATAATGCAATTGTCCTCTTCCTTCTTTCAATCTTGGCGTGGAAACGCCCTTGAACAAAGTTTCCAAATTAAAAAATCATCATAACAAAAAGAATGGGTCACGCACTGTAATCCCTTGATATCGACCAAGCCAAACTGACCGCCTGACACAGATCTCTTTAAGAAAGAGAAAAGCTGAGATTATATTTAAAAATACAAATTGACTAAAAATTCTTGAATAAATAATTATGCTTCAGGCCCTTGGGGGAAAAAAAGAAATTGCCCGCTACAACTTGTACAAAAAAACAATTCAGGCTCACAGTTTCAAAATTCAAAATACCAGACATCCACCAGAATATCAAATGGTAGGTCCTAACAGTAAGATGTACATGAGGAAGCTGGTGCTAAATGTTACACAGTTTAGTATAAAAAATACAAAAAACTTGTGAGTGGGTAAATCACTATAAAAAAGTGCGAAAACTACTTTACATTACTGGGGCACAACACTATGATAACTTGTTATGTGTCTTCAAATAGGAAATCGTTTTAAGAAAGGAATGGTGAACAGCCGATCTGGTTGGCCCGGAAGTTGATTCTTCACAATGAAGTCCCAAAGAGGTTACACCTTCCTATGGCGCAGCCTCTCAAACCCATCTTCCCGAGGCAAGTGAGTTAACTGACTATAAAAGTCCAGTTTCCACCCTTGCCGAACTAGGCTGGTATTATGGAGTTACATTTCGGCTGGACTAACGAGTCTATGCATAGTCCAATCAAAATCGCGCACCGAAATCGAAATCCGGTTCGTAAAGCGTCATGCAGATTTCGGTCGACTGCAGGATTTGCAAAGCATGTGCACCGCTAACTCGTTGTCAACAGATATTTTCTAAATCTTTTCATGTTTTTAATCAAGGTGCTCACGTGATTTGATGCACTTCACGATGTAAGACTCGTTTTACACAATATAGATCTTGATTATCGATCAGATCGTCTTGATTGGGCGCCACCGTTTTGTTTGAAACAAATGCAAGTGATACGAGAGGTTGAATCTGATTGGTCAAAAGGAGAGGCATAGAAAGGACATAACTCGTAATAGCCACTGGTTGCGCTACGATCGAGCCCAGTAACTCCAACCAAGTTCGGCAAGGGTGGAAACTGGACTTTTAAAGTCAGTTAACTCTCTTGCCTCGGGAAGATGCTCAAACCGGACTCTGGTGATGCCATGAGCCTGTCACAAACTCGACCAGCTGCAGCAAGGGCCAGAAGAAAAAACATTTTCATGTGACATGTTCATAACTCTTTTCTTCAAAGTGTTCATAGGCTTTCAAAGTCAGATGGCATAGGATGGCATTGATGTCCCAAGTAGGAGGACGGAACTGGGATGATTGGTCAGCCAACATGTTGGATCAAATGAGAGCCGAGAAGTTCCTAGATCTTCGAGTCAGTAGTAGTGGCAATTAATGAGCTGAGTACCACATGATATGTAGCAAGTGGAACCTTTAAGCTGTAAATATTCTTCAAGTTGTTGGGCAGAAGTAGTTTTTTGTTTGTTTGTTTGTTGTTTAACACAGCACTCAGCAATATTCCAGCTATATGACGGCGGTCTGTAAATAATCGAGTCTAGACATGACAGTCCAGTGATTGACATCATGATCATCGATCCACACAATCGGGATACAATGACATGCATCAACCAAGTCAGCAAGCCTGACCACCTACTTTAAAAGGATATGCGATGTTGATCTACTGCACCAGGGTTAGAAATTGGCACTAGTCCTATAGTCCTTGCCAAACTGCCAAATAATAAAGGTATCCTAAGGACTAGTAGAATTTTGCCATTTTTAAAGGTTTTGCTATATGCTATCATTATAAGGACTAGTGGACTGAAACTGTTAGTTTCTACTGCTGTGCACGAATGTCAATCTGGAAGGTTGTCGACCAGGGTGGGACCACCTGGATGAGACAAACATCAAAGTTGAACTGTACATCGACATCAATCTTGAAGTCGCTCCCTTGGTGGCTAAATACTATAGTTATCAGACATAGATCTGTAGTCTGGATATGGTTTGTACCAATGTTGATCTGCATAACAGCCTGGTGATGCATAGGTGAAGAAGGGCATGTGACAATAGGGGAGGCGTATTAATCCCAGCAGTGAAGTTGATTTGCATAGTCACTATATCGATGTCGATCCCTGGATGAACGATTATAGGTATGTCAGTGTGCGTTAGAGTTGGAAGATCGAGATCAATCTTAGAGTCAATGGCAATCCGACCAGCCTGTAGAAGTAGATCGTTCCCGCCCTCGAGTGAAGGGTTGATCAGATGATTGATATCTATCTGTCAAATTGGAGTGATCGTCTTCTGTATGATATTGAAACTGTTGGTGTTTATATCATATTAGACTTCTGAGGCGGATCCTTAGAATGTTGATCCCTGAATCCCATGTGGTCACATTGTTAGCTGCAATGAGTCAGTTTACATACACCCTCTAGAAGAAAAATCAATTCTCTACTATTCAAAACACTTCCACACAGGTTGGTGACAAGAAAAAGAATAAGACAGGTTGTCAGTTTGGCTTGGTTGATATGCACAGGATTACAGTGCATAACCCATTTGTCTGGATAGGGATCATGTGTTTGGGTGTAATGTTTTTTGAAGCTGGAAACATTGTTCAAGGGCGTTTCCACACCAATATCGAAAGAAAAAGAAATGCATAGTGTGAGATAGGATCAGCTTAAAAATTGATCTCTTTTTAAAAATGATTCAACATTAACTATTCAACTGATAAAAAAAAGACAAGTACAAAATTAGTGCAGGAATTATTGGTCGTACAATCAATCAATCGATCGATCTGGAAATGTAAAACGATTATTGATCTGCTGGAAAGTATAATCTACAACAAAACATCATGAAATAAATAATTAAATCAAGACAGCAATTACTTAGTTCAACTCGAACATTCCACATGAATTCGGTTATACACAAATAAGAACAATTAATAACTTGTTCCTGTGAGAGGTCATAATTGTGCTTTTGTTACAACCACTGACTCGCTACAGCACTAAGTGTCTCTGATAACCTTGTTTGATGCCAAGCTGGTCTTGCCTGTCTTTACATACTTTGTAAAATAAATGTTTATGTTGTAGATATAATAATTGTATTATTTCAAGTGAATGTTATCTATTATGTTGATCAGTTGATGTGACTCAATTTGAACCTGGGTAACCAGCCTGGGAACTTTGCTTTCTTGAACCCACTTAATCGTAGAGTGTTAGGTTATCAATTGACATATTGATTTTTTATGGAGAAAGTAGATCGATCTAAGTGACCTGGCTATCGATATGAATATGCAAAGTGATAGCGAGCACTATACAAAACACAACATAATTTCCAATGCTATTTTATAGTAATCTACATGTCCTACATCATGTATTAAGGATTAGATTTTATTACCACTCATTCATAACAGTAGTGTTAAAGCTGTAGAAATCAAAGTTAATCAACATCTGAAAGCAGCCTTTAATACAAAGAAAGATAATGTAATATGCAAGAGTAAGAAAATCACAGCATAAACCCATGGCCAAGAGACATAAAGCACACGATGCATGATGACTTCAGCAAAGCTAGCTGGAGCTGTTGGGCTGCACGGACCTGACTCAGTGCTGGTGCTGGTACTAGAGGACGACTGGTCAGAAATGCAGGCGGCACTGATTGGCTGTGACTGGTCTCGCTCTCGCTCTGCCCACCAGCCTGTGCTGTCCTGTCGGTTGGGGGACAGTGGGGGTTGGCGAGGGGACGGGTTCAGGCCTAAATGTACACAGATAGAGGATGCAGCCAGTCACCACAAAACAAACACAAGCTAGACACATTCTGCTGTGTTTGTTAGAAACTTAAGTGTTGGGAATTTCATTTTTCTTAAGTGGAAACCAATAAGGGCATCAAATAATTTAGTATAGTTCTTTTTTTAAAAGAAAGAAAAATAATTTTTTGATAATGTCAGAAATTCAAATAGTTATTGATAAACACCTTGTTGGAAATTACATATTCTGTACATTCTAATTCACAGCAGGATGTGACTAATCATTGTCAAGACATCTGCATGAATATCAAGAAACACAATGCAAATCTGTGCTGCAAAAGACTCCTGTCCCTCTTCATTTATGTGCTTTAATTAATTCATGCTCATATATTGAATAGTACAGGTACACCACAATGTAAGCACCAGTGTTTCCTTTCAAGGAAAAACTTGTTGGAAAAAAGCTAAAACAATACAGGTAACAGTATTTTTACCAATACAATGTCTTGTAAAAGGGTATAAAATGATCTTGTTGATGATGGTGAATACTGATGCAGCAATACAAGCTTACCAGCCACTTACAACAGGAAGAGGTCTTGACAGGTGAGATTATTTGTTTAAGTAATTAGTTATAATGTTTATAGTCAAGTGGAAGCTCCAGTGGAAGGACACATGAAAGGACATGAAAGGACATGAAAGCAATGCGAAGTTGATCATGAAACATGATGCCTGACTATGAACAATGGATCATGGTGAGTGTACCTTCTACCATAAAAATAATAATGTACATAGAACTTCTACTTACTGGTGGTAGCAGGCATATGGTCTGTATCTGTGAGACTTTGGTTGTCTGTCCTCTGGGCATCATCTCCCTTGGATGAAAGACTCTCATGACTTCCATGCAGGGATGACACCTAAACAGTATCATCATTTATGAACTCTACATGGCTTGATAGTAACTTTAGCAAAGGAATTGGTACATTCTTTTACATATTTGCCTGAAGCCTAAATTTAGCTAAATAATTGTTACAGCTTTTATGTACAAGACAAAATGCTAAAAGAGATTCTGAAAGGCAATGGGGTACATGTGTTGTGGGCATTGAGAGATAGAGTATATATTCAATGGTGGGTTGACAAATATTTCATCGAATGGTGAGAATAGACTTGATATTTGCATGAGTGGTGTATTATAAACACACCAATTGATGACATAAATAGAGTATTTAAAAAACCGCTGTTAAAAGATTCCATTTATAATCTTGAGAGAATTTAAGAACATGGTCGAAACAAGTTTTAAAAAATGCCATTTTGCATAAAATGGAACGGGAGTTGAATCCCACCACTTACTAAACAAATATCAAATTTCATTACATTTTGAAAAAAGCTTGGCAGAATAATGGCCAAAATAATTTCCAGCTGTATCAGGTGTGTCGGAAACATAGTTTGACTAGAAAAACAGTAGTACGTGAAAGTCAAAGGTTACAGCTGGATCAAAGGTTGCAGCTGGATTAAAAGTCAAAGAATGGTCTGTCGTGTAATGTTTAGAAAACCACAAACTAGCTGCATATCAAATTTCATAATGACCGAGGAATGGCCAAACATGACATGGCAGCCATGTTTGAAATAAGAAAATTCAGTCAGCATTCCTTAAAGACACTCCAGCAAGGATTATTCATACAAGGTATCAACTCCAAAAGCCATCTAGTATAAATGTGGAAAATGCAAAAGTTCATGACAGACGGATAACCAGACAAACAACAGACAATGCACCATGTTATGAGCTCACTTGGCTTTCAGTCATGTGGAGCTAAAACAATGGCCAATCAATAACCATTAATATGTGTACTGAATGTCAAAGATTTTAGATGGATCAACAATCAAAATATGCAAACAAAAACATACTACATTTTAATCCTCTAGAATAAATTCACCAGGTTTAGCAAAGTCAGATTTCCACATCTTCACAAAAACGAAAGAACTGTCTGGCAAGCATTATTCAAAGAGAGAACCTCATTTCTGCTGTGGAAGACTTTTTACACCACCAGGAGGATGCCATCTACACCAGTGGCATCCAGGCACTCAAGCAGAAATGTGTGAACCTGAGAGTCGATTATGTTGCAAAATAATTAGCAACCAACTCCATCAATGCAGTCCATCATGCTTAGCCCCAGAGCTTTCCAGTCACCCTTTGTTGCACGCCGTCAGTGACAGCGAGTAATTTAGAGTTACCCTCCTTGTATACATGAACATTGCAGGCCTCATCATTCAAGAAGTTTCTGGATGGAAGAGTTTATAAAAGGCTTGCCCAGTGCAGTGTGGATGCCTATTTGTAAACAGTGAATATCTGCCAGCTTCAAACACTGCTCCGGATTCAAGATTGGAGACAGGACTGTTTCAAGACATGCAACAGTGACAAAATTCATGAGTGCACTTACATTTATTATAGGGCCTATTACTTTTTGCTCATGCGACTTATTTGACCCAATGCACTGCCATTTTTATTGTAAACCTACAACTGTGTGTTTCAAAAATATTTACTGATTATTCATTGATTTTGTGTGGTCATTTACTGATTACACAATTCAATTCTGTGCAAACAGTTTTCTGTCTTAACCTCTGCATTACAATTTGGAAATCACCTCATAACATAATTCATTCTGTAATATATATCCACAAGCATTAATGAAGCACCACCTGATTCAAACTCAGATAATGATAATGACAAACAATGGAATCCTAACTGGATAGCATGTTTTATAAATAAGACTACACATACATGGACACCATCATCAACAGCAGTCATGTTTTAATGTAGCACATACCGGTATCTGAAAAAGTGGGAGGTGCTTAATTAATTCTCCTGTGTACATATTCAAGAAACATTAGATATGTGCATGAATGCATGTCTATACTGTCAATATGCATGTCAATACCATTACCAAACATGTCAACCTGTGCAGTCCTTGGTTAGAATAGGTCGTCATCAACCAATGCTTGCCGTAAGAGGTGACTATGCATGTCGTAAGATGCGACTAACATGATAGGGTGGTCAGGCTCACTGACTTGGTTGATGCATGTCATCGTATCCCAAATGCATGGATTGATGCTCATGATGTCAATCACTGGATTGTCTGGTCCAGGCTCGGTCCCGTCAGTCGCCTCTTACGCCTATTACGGCAAGCATGGGTTGCTGAAGACCTATTCTACCCCAGATCTTCATGGGTCACAAAAGTTAATGATGAACTGACAATGGACAACACGCCACAACATAACCTTACTTGACTTAAAGTCAGGTGAACTAACAGTGGGTAATTAAACATTTTGGGGCTGGTTGCCAACTGACTAAGTAGAAAAAGGAGTCAACCATACAATTAAATTTGAAAAAACATGTTCAGGAACACACAAACAACTGGGACAACTGCCAGTACCTCTTCAAGGCATAATGTGTCAGTGTCATTTCAACATTATATCTTTATTGTCACTCAGCAGAGATATATATACTAAATGTGTAACACCAATTCCTGTGAAAGCGAGTCGGATACCAGAACTATTTCACAAATTTCATAAAATTGGTACTTCACAGGAGCAAGTTAAGTATTATATTTATTACTTGCCATTAAGAACTTTAAAAAAAATTCACTTGTCAGTGAAAAGGCAGACATCTACGCGATCCACAGCATAATCCAATTTTAAGTAAAACAGAAAAATACTTCAAACACGTCAAAAGTTGACATGTATTAATGTTACACCATACAACGCCCCACCTTTAGAGTTCAGGGGTTCGTTCCACATATCTATAGTATTGCTAACGTTTTTTGTAACTCTGATTCTATTACTTAGACTTACGACTGTCATTGCCCTACAATCGCCTTGTGGCACGGGGAGCCCTCTGCATCACAAAGTCAACAATCACATCACAATACCCTATGACTTAATTTGTTGAATTTTGTTTCAAGATGCACAGGTGAAAGAATGCCCTGAAAAGTCAGCCGAGCGAAAGGGTTGCTGGATTCATCTGGTTTGCATAAGCTCCTCTCAGTAATCTATCATCTCTACACACAATGTCGTTGAATAAGCCCAGGGATTTTGGGGAGTTTTCAATATTTGTTGAAACTTGTTCCCGCAGTGCATAAGCATGCACTTTGGTATTACACAATGTGTAATACTACCTGATGTTTATTAAACAGGTGATCTCTTCACAGGTGAGCAATAAAGGGGAAAGTTTACTAATAGATTCGATTATTTCACTGCCAATCATAAAATAAAACCACTTATTGTTCCCTGCTTATGAGGCAGTATATATATTGATGAAGCAAATGCTATCTTATAAAGCAAATGCTATCTTATAATGTTGGCTTGATATGTGAGAGGGTCATTAAACCTACATCTGGTGTGAGGCTGGTGTCACTGCGATTACTGCTGGTGACCTCTCGGGCCCAGTAGTGCGTGTGTAGGATCTCCATCACCATGAAAGCACTTGCCATTCCACCAAGGCCATGGTTCTGAAATGTGTGCTCCAGACCATGGACAATTGCCTTCGTCATTGCCAGCATGCCTTTGAACACATTCTTTGTAATACACTGTGAACAGGAAAAAAAGAGAGACATTTGGTTCTGTTAAAGTTGTGTTTTTACTACATCACAGGCAGTAATATTAATTATCAAAGTCATTGTGATGCCTAGTCATTTCTCATTTCCCGTTTCTTCTGAATATAACAAGAGTCATCCGAAGATGACATATCCCCCCAACGTGGCATGTCGGTAAACTGTGTGTACCTTCAAATGTATTTAGATTGGCAAGGAAATCATTTTCCTTGATGGCAAAACTAGAAATATAATGAAGGTTATTAAATATTGGTTCATGTAGCTCACTTTCTGATGATCTCATGAAATTGTAATAACAATAACTTCGCAGATTCGCATATGAATAGCTCTGGAGTAGCCTCATGACACAAAGGCATAAAGAGAATGTACTAGGTTATGTAGCTCACATCATATGTAGTATATGATATCGGTAAATAGTACACCTTAGAATTATATGTCAGGGGCTACAAATTAAAAAGATTAAAATCTATAAATAACAAAATGCACTACAAGTGAACATGACTGATATGTGCATAAAGTTTGGTGAATCTCTGTCGCATGATTTAGAAGATATGCTCCAGACAAGGACATTACCCTAAGTTCATCAATTTTCAATTTAAATTGAAAAAAGAAAAAACTTTTGAGAAGCTAAGTTGTATGGTTTAGGAGATATGGTCCGGACAAGAGCAGTACCCTCAAATTTCCTAAGTTCATCATATTTCCATGTAAACGACAAAAATATAAAATTCTAAAAATCTCTAAATAGCAAAAGGCACTTCTACTGAGCTTGATTGTTAAGTGTACCAAGTTTTAGGAAGCTAGGTTGTACGGTTTAGGAAACATGCTCCGGACAAGAGCAAACCCTCAAATTTCCTAAGTTCATCATATTTCCATGGAAATGACAAAAATAAAAAACTCTAAAAATCTCTAAATAGCAAAAGGCACTGCTACTGAGCCTGATTGGTAAGTGTACCAAGTTTTGTGAAGCTAGGTTGTACGGTTTAGGAGATATGCTCCGGACAAGAGCACTACCCTCAAATTTCTTTAGTTCATCATATTTCCATGGAAACGACAAAAATATAAAATTCTAAAAATCTCTAAATAGCAAAAGGCACTACTACTGAGCCTGATTGGTAAGTGTACCAAGTTTTGTGAAGCTAGGTTGTACAGTTTAGGAAATATGCTCCAGACAAACAATGATTAAAGACGGACAGATGGATGGACTGACAGACAGACAGACGGACATACTGATGGCTATATACCCCCGTCATTATGTCGGGGGGATAAAAAAAGGATGAAGTCACATATACCAAGTTTGGTGATTAAGATATTAATACCTTTAGATAACTGAAGCCTATACACTTTAGTGAGCAGAACCCTCTTGTATCACACTTAAAGCATAAACATGTCATAATATTTCCATTAACTAATAAGGACATAAATCTCAGAGTTTTGAAATTTGAGGAGGTCTAACTGCAGAATACATACCTCTATTTTTAATTTGTGTACCAGTTGGTTTGAAATAACCCCCCAGTAACAGATATAAATATTTTGAATGACAAACTCTCCACCCTGAACCTCGACATTTCTCAACTTGACCTACTTCCGTGAGAGAATATGGTTTTACGCCGCTTTTAGCAATATTCCAGCAATATCATGGCAGGGGACATCAGAAATGGGCTTCACACATTGTACCCATGTCAGAAATCGAACCCAGGTCTTCGACATGACAAGCAAACGTCAAATTGCATGAACCCAGATCTGTAATTATGTTCACTATTAAGGATGTGATTTACCCATTATGTGACCTGACCAATGGCTTGTGTGTGTTTTACTTGATTGTATGTGTTCTGAAATAGATTAGCAAGTGGTTTCTGAGAAGATGTTTACAGACAATGCTGATGCAAGCCATGACATTGGCTCACTTGACTGAAAGTCAGGTGAGCTAAAAAGTAAAAATATGAGGTAAATTAAGGTAGCACCATAGTTGGGATCATTCATGCAAAATTTCAGTGGCAATGTTGAAAATGTAAAACTTAAGAGGAACAGATGGACGGACAGCTTACCACAACATGAGTTCATTGTTTCAGTTGGGTGAAAAGGTAACATTTTCTGTTCAAAGATCAAGTGTTTTCCATCCCGCTAGATGCCGAAAATGCAGCATCACTAGATTAAGGAGGATTACCGGTAATGACAGCCATGACATAAGGTCTCTTCAAACGGTACAATAAACAAGCATTTGGAATGATGCATTTACAGCCAAACTTCGAATAATGTCAATTCCTTGTTATTTTTAAGGTGACCATGGTACTTACCACATCCTCAAGGTGATTTGCATCATCAGTAATCTTTTTGTCCAGGTTACGGTTGAGTCGACTGATGACAAAGTTCCTGTAGTTCTCATCTTCCATCAGCTTCTTCACACGGTTGAGTTTGAGCCATCCCATTCCCTGCCCATCCAGGATAAAATTGACCACCTCCTTTAAGAACTGCTGATTCTCACTAAGGGTACAGAAATAGTTGTTATCAGGATATGAGTCAAGATGCATTGTCTACATTCTTCAAAAACTTTCATGTATGGGACATTCTGATTCCCTACTGATGACAATACTGAAAAAGTACACTTACCTGTTTGAAGAACCCCGAGATTCCTGTGCTACTGGTTTCACAGTTTCTTTTTTCTTCTGACTGGTAGCATGTTTGACCAATCCAGACTTCTCAACAAGAGCTTTCCGTGTACCTATCATGAGAGTCAAAAATAGAATCTGGTCTAATCCTTTTAGGTGTTACACTGAATACAAGTTAATTTGTGCTCCCCTCACTTCAGGAACAGTGCAGCAACAGTACTTACAAGCCAGTAACTGCAACTGTCTCGGATATACATTCCACCCAAATAGCCTCATCACCACCTCTTCCTGATACACTATGAGCTTACCAAGTCCTCCAGCTTATATTTAAGTTGGGCCTCCCAAAGTACAAGTACCCTTGTGGCATTCTTGAAATGCTGCTGTGTTAGGCTATGGATTGGCAGCATATCTCGCTCAGACCACTGGCCCAATCCCATTGGTATGCCATCCGTCACACTAGTTACGTTGTCGATGAGGTTGACAGTTATTGAGAGTAAATGTTAACACTCTGAGCTCACTCTTGTAGTTGCCCAGGAAAACTGTTAAAGTGGATACCCAATCTTTCCCTCTGAAAACATTTATAAAGAACCATATATCCATCAGCTAGACCTCACCCTATGTTTCTTCGAATGTGATTGCAAATGTTGTCACATGCAAGACAACTACACAGGTACAGAAGATTACAATTAATCAGTGGTTAATATTTAAGGTGTCAGGAAGTGTCAAACTAGTAATTTGGTATAACAGACATTTTCTCAATACAGTGGGTTTTCAGTTCTCAGGACATTTGTGGTAACTTTCCTTGAATTACCTCATATTTTGTTGTATATGCTGACAAAAGAATCATGGCTACTAATAAATTGAGTTGCATTTCATATTTCCCTGATATCTATCATCATCCTTTCACATAATCAGATTCACCTAAGTTGTTTATGATCAGATTGTGATATTAATGGTAAATTTAGGCAAAAAACAAAGTCAAACAACAATGAAGGCATCAACTCTACCTAATCTCTGGCTTCATTATAATACATATAAAACGTCAACGCCAGAGAATAATCAGTCTTGATTATCTGCCATAACAGGTCCCAATGGGTGTAATAAGAAAAACAGTGGTGAAAATATAAATGGATCACTGTAAATCAGTGTTGACATCAATTGGGAACTTTTCCAATGATCAAATCCTGGAAAGCAACTCTCAAAATATACTCAACAACAAAAGTTCCTGTGACACCAATATTTTAGTGTATTTTTCAAACAAGTAAAGTTTGGTTTTCAATAATGTAGTACATTTATGGAATCAAGTCACAAAAACGCAACTGCTACAGAAAAGCATGCATTCCATGCAAAAGTTGACTTTTGCCCCATGCATTTCACTACCCAAGAATGGGTTTAAAAACAATTGCATTAACAGGATTCCATATGCATTGTTTAGCATCGCGCTGACAACAACCACTCAGGAAAACAACAAAATTACAAAATTATTCAACACTACGAAATGCCACGCTTATCCGAAAATGAGCGTCTGCAAGCCATTGGTATGCTTGAAGCAGGATCGAGTCAACGTGATGTTGCAAGACAATTTAACATCCACAGAAACACCATTTGGTGTTTATGGCAATGTTGGCAACAGACGAATGCAGTCTGAGACCATCCTCGGAGTGGCAGGCCACGGGTAACCAATAATCGACAAGACAACTGGATTCGAACAACACACCTACGAAATCAATTCCAACCAGCACGGTGACAGCAAGAAGCATCCCTGGCCTTCGATGAATATCTTCACAAACCGTACGTCGTCGCCTCAGATGTGCAGGGATTGTCGCCAGAAGACCCGCCAGACATCCCATTTTGACAGGAAACCAGTGTCAAGCAGTGGTGCCTACAGCATCTATGCTGGACGGCCATGCAGTGGGGACAACTTCTATTCACTGACGAGTCTCGTTTTCACCTCAGTCACAGCGATGTACGGATTCAAGTGTACTGACATCGAGGTGAATGTTACGTCAATCATTGTGTCATTGAAGATGATCGGTTCGGGGGCGGCAGCGTTATGGTATGGGGTGGGATTACAGCAAGACAGAGGACCCGTTTGATAGTGGTAGAGGGAAATCTCAATGGACAGCGCTACTGCAACGAGATCATCGGCCCTGTTGTTCTACCGTTTTAGCATCGTCATGCCCCCAGCATTACCTTTCAACATGACAACGCCCAGCCTCATATTCCTCAACTTGTTCAGGATTCCCTTCAACAAAACAACATGAATGTCATCCCCTGGCCTGTTCGCTCCCCTGATCTCTCACCAACTGAGCACATGTGGGATAAGATGGATCGGCGCCTTCGACGTCAACCACGTGTTCCACCGACACTCCAGGAACTTCGAAACATTCTCCAGCAGATATGGACAGATATCCCACAGGACATTGTGCAAAGCCTGGTCCATTCCATGAGACGAAGATGTGTTGCTTGCATCGCAACCAGAGGTGGACATACAAGCTATTGATTTGTAAATTGACATTTTAGCATGTTCATGTTTTTTATGAAATCACACATTTTCTGAAGTCAGTATGTCAAATTAAACCATTTGAACACTTACAGGAGTCTTTTATCTGTTGCAAACCGAAATTGTTTCAGATTTGGTAAAAAATATAACTTTGCATTAAATCTTATTCAATGTCACAGGAACTTTTGTTGTTCTGTTCATCTTAACCGCTGGCAGAATGGGATTGATTAAAAATGATATTACTTACATTCTTGATTGGTTCAAAACAAATTGTTTGATGGGCATTAGAAGTTGACTGATGACAAAGTAGAGATAATTTATGGATAACAACATCTTTATTTACTGTAAAGGCGATGTTTCAGTATAGATCCTTATACCATTGTCAAAATAACAAATGCAAAATACACAGTGATTAAACAAACCTCCACAAATACGTATTTAATCTTGTCACAACCTTTCGTGAATATTTACCTTTAGGCTCAACTAAGTCATTCGTAAGAAATCAACATGAACATCTTCCATAGCAGGAAGACAGGTTGTAGAAATAGTGACAAAGACATTTATTTCTCAACACCATTATTAAATAACAGTATTTACTTATATTGAGGTTTAACTTATGTACCAGTTGGTTTGAATTAACTCCCCAGTAACAGTAATACAGTCTGCCACTTCAGCCGTCAGTCTGAAGCCCAAGAAATTCTGTTCAAATCAAATGATGACACAAACTTTTTCAAGAGGTTGGAATTCAGGTTTCTAAAATCGCTGTTTACTGCATTAGATAATGTAAGAGATCAAAGATGAACAAGGGCAAAAGTGAACCTGGCTCACTGATACCCCCGACCCGCCTAGTGTGTCAGTAGTTTCAAATTAAGTAATGGATAGGGTTAGGGTTTGAAAAATTCATAACAAAATGGAAAATTAATGAAATGGTTTTTTTCTTTTGACTGCACCCCTCCATATGACACAGATTATATGTACTAAGTTTGAGATGAATCCACTGAATAGTATAAGAGAAATCGCACAGACAAAATATTCGGACCGACTGACAGAACCTTGGTATAACTATATACCCAGACCAAAAAGGTCGGGGGTATAATAAATCTATATATTGGTGAGGACTAGCAGTCCCCTCATTTGGTAAAGTCAAAATGGTTCATGATACATGTTTCTGGTGGGAATGTGGGAATGTTCAGCTATATAGATACAACAGTGGCCTTTAAATAACACACCCAGGGCCAGACAAGCCAGTGAATCAACCAAATTGCCATGCCATTGTTTATGATCCAAAGCCACAAAATATATAAAACCAACACCACACCACCAATGTACACTTTTTGTACATCAGGTTTAGGATCTACCCGAGACAATCTCAAAATCATATGCTGTCACTAATAAGCAGCTGGTCAGATAATTAAAATTAGGCAAAAAGTTCCATTGAACATTTAAAAGCAACTGCATAGATTATGAACTGCAGAGGTACATGAGAAAAAGATTTTACATAAATAAACATTTAAGCAAAGAGTACTGTGAGGTGCTCACCAAGAGGTGTGTATGGTTTGGCAGCTGGCTTGTTTATGCTGGGCTGAGGTGGTGGAGATGGTGTGGCAGCCTTATTGCTTCCTGCAACAAACCCACACCATGGGCATCAATGTATAGTGACCAGAATGTCAAATAATCACAAACAAATCAATTATCTGAACCACTTCTGTCCATGCTGCAGTGCACAATCAGTCACTCTCTTATAATGATCATTACTTGGAAGCTAGATCCATACAGCTGCAACATTAGTCATAAACATGGACAAGTTGTGTATTGTGACAGAATGATGAAGTACACAACAATGATGTCGAATACCAGTTAGTCTTTGCATCTTTTCTTATGACTATTATTGTAAAAATATGATATTTCAAAGGCATTTGTAGAAAGACAAATGGAAGCATAAATGAAAGTGCAATAGTGTACAGTACACAAGTTAAATACATCAAAGAAAAAGAAAGGTTTTCTGGAAGCACAGTTAATACATAACTGCTTTCACAATCAAGCATTAAAAAGATAATCATTCACAACAATCTTTATTTAATTACTGCTCTGATATTATATGTAAAAGAAAAACCAAGTCTTCGAGGTTTTGGTTGAAAATGTAAATACAAAGGCGAGGGAAAAGACTGAGGGCTGTTTGTCATGAAACCGGAATAATATCAAGGACCATGAGCTTCACATTCAAAACAAGGGTCACAAACATGTGGTTGCTTTTTTCGACTGTTTGAAAAATGTGATGTGATGACTAATGTTTGGTGTGGTTGGACCCAAGCTTTATTCAAACTCTATACCTGTCTACTGTCAAACCTGGCATATTTCAGGCCACAGAACAAATGCTATGAGGAACTTCAAAAGGACCAAGTGTGAGCAAAAAGCAGGCTGCTGTGACTGAGTATGAACCAGCACAGGCAGCTATTGAATATTGTCCTGTCTAAAATTCAACTTCAACTTAAACAGTAATATTTTAAACTTATCCTGCTTTACATATTGCACTTTATGTGACGGTAGATGGTTGTGTGTACCTTCAGTCCAGTGCAAGGATAACTGTCACATGTCATGGCATTTTATAGAGTGGTCCTGTAGGTTGGGCTTTCTGAGGTGTTTAGTCTGCTCTTCTTCTGTGGTATGACCGAGGGGGCATGTGGGTAGCCTGCAATGCAGCCTACCGGCCTTTCTTGGGGATGGCAAGATGCTGAACTACCACCAATGGCCCAAAACTATGTACGTATTGTTGCTCTTACCCAGAAGGAGGTTGTGTTCCTTGGATATCTCTCCTTTACAAGTCAAGGAGGATGGAATGAACAAGTGTCTGTTCATCCTTCTTTGCCTCACTGCTTCTATATATATATCTATAGATATCAGAAGTTCATCCTGGTCCTCTACCTCGTCGATGTAATGGGGGGGGGGGGGGGGGAGAGAATGGTAAATAGTCTATCTGGTTGGCTGGGTTGTTGATTTTTGGAAATAAAGTCCAAGCACAAACCAAGAAGAACAGACCCTCTGGGGCGTTGCTCCCACTGTACCTGAGTGACATCAAGAGCGTGGAGTTCACTGACCCTAGCTGCTGTGGGTGGAGGTAGTAGGAAGATGAACTCCTGAGTCAGGTGTTGAAAGGAGGCCCTGTAGTGGTTCATAGGGACATTGTCTAAAGTGTCTTAGTACGATGTTCAAGTTCATTGCTGGAGAACGAACTTCAACTTCTGGTCCTCCAACTTGAAACTCTGTCAACTCCAGTATTGTGGACAACTTCCTGTCTTGGGCAACAGCGTAGGCAGTGTTGATTGTGAATAGGTATGTAGCTATAGAACTACTATTCAGATGTTTTTTTACTCTTAAGTGGGGCAATAGTCCGGTATTAAATGAGCCGTTGCCTCTGTGGGAGTCACGTATCTTTGCCTATAGATGGTCTCAAAGGAAGCCCATTTGTCATCCTGGTGGATGGTCTATGGGCCTGGGCTACGGCCAGTGTGTCTCTCATCCAGTAACCATTTGCTGTTAATACCTTCTGCAGAAGACCCAGATATGAAGTTGGAACTGCTCTGGTGCGAATGGAGGTGTTGGCTGTGAGGGTCCTGCAGTAGACTTGACCACTCTGGAAGCTGTAGAGCTGGTTGGCCGGCGACATGTAAGAGGTCTGGGAAACAGGTTTTTGCTGGCCAGTACGGCATCAAATGAATCAGAAACAAGTTGTTGGTTGAATTGATTTTTTGGATCACCTTGGGCAGGAATGCCAGCAGGGGAAACATGTAGGCACTGAAACCCTCCCTGTCTATGGTGAGAAGATCAAAATCCCACGCCTGAGGGTTGAACGAACGTCGGCAGCTGTTTGTTGTATCTTCTGGCAAACAGATGGACGTTCGGATGCCCCAACTGCTGGCATAGTTGTTGGAAGAACTCTGCATGGAGTTTCCACACTGAGTGGGATGGGCGGTCTGGTCTTGATAGCTTATCGGCTAGGACGTTCCTGCACCCAGGCATGTGTCTCACTCTGGTCTCTCACTGAATCCTGTCTATTAGGTGGTAAAAACAGAACATCTGGTTCAAGAGGGAGGTCGTGTGGGTCGATCCCTGCTTGTTGATGAACCAGATGACTGCTGTGTTGTCCGTGACGATCATCAACCTGGTGTTGGTCAATTGTTGAGCCCAATGTTGTACTACCAGGATGACAGCTTCTAGTTCAGAGTGTTAATGTGCCACTGTGTTTGTTCTGGAGACCATAGCCCTGCCACTGTCTGATCTAAGAAGTGGGCTCCCCACCCTTGCAGTGAGGTGTCTACAAAGAGGTGATGGGACTACTTGAACTCTGTCAAGCAGATGCCTTCTAAGGCATTTGATGGGACCAACCACCAGGGGAGGTACTGGCGGAGATGGTCTGGCAACATATGTAGGCTCAGTAATTGCTGGCTCTGGTAAAACTTGCCACTGGTGGACTGATTGGGAGCCTGCCAGAGCTAGATGGACAAACATGACTATTTTGTCCCATCAGTCTGGTGGGAGGCCCAGGAGGCCCTTGGTGGTATCAAAGAGGCCTCCTATGAACATCAGGCTCTGGGTCGGCTTTAACTCCGACTCCTCGGTATTGATTAGCCATCCAGTTGGTAAAGCAGGCGCATTGTAATCCTGCTGCTGTATAAGTAGTTGCCTCTCTTGGTGATTCATGAGGCAGTTGTCTATGTATGACGTGAAGCCGATCCCCCTCAGGTGTAGGTAGGAGCCTTTTATTTATCCTCAAACAAGTCCAGTTCTGCCACAATCGAGACAGTCTTCCCCCTACTGGTAAGGAGTGGACAGGAATGGCTTGTGGGGCAAGGAAGGTCGCAGTTGTATCTGCCCTTTGGGAGAATATGCCCTGGAGAACAACGAACAGCTTCCGCAGTTAGACCCAGCTCTGGGGTAGGCACCACAACCCTTTCCACAAGTCGCATCTTTACTTCCCTCTTTTTGGTGAAATCCCGACATGGCTGGTAGGTGCCTGAATGGGAGCTGAAATTGTCTTTCAACATCCTAAGCATAGAAAGAGTGGCTTGTCTGTCCTCAATTCTCTCAACTTGCTCTGGTGTTGTTAAATAGAGTTGACAATTTCCATGGTTGGTTCAACATTGCTTTAAAACATGGATCCCATGCGGAAGCAGCTTGGTGGCTCTGTCTCCTTAGTTGAATCAGTGATGCCAGCGTGTGAAGAACATGGTCTCTCAGGTTCCCCAATTGATTCAGCTGCCAGGGCAGTACAGACTGAAATTGCTGTTTCTCGTCAGTAGGGAGTTCACCCGAACGCATGTTCATGGGTGCAAAGGACGATGCCAAAGCCGACGGGTAGGGTAGTGTCTTCCGTAATTCCCCATCTGGAAGACAATATCAGGGGATCTGTGATCTTGAAGAATCCAACTCTGGAGGGGGCAGTCATTCTAGATTGTCCTTGTCCAGGGATGGCACCTTTTCCGCATGTACCTTGCCATGTACCGGTTGCTCCTTGGTATGCTTAGATGGTCGGAAGGAAGTGGAAGACTGCCTAACGCCAAGAAATCCTTTTCAAGGTTAACCAATGCCTCTTGGATGAAAGCGTCCAGTGGCAAAGTAATGGTCTCCAGGCGCCCACCCTCCACGTGGCACACTTTTTGGGGTATGCTCCCTGTAGATGAGGGTCCTTTGCCAATTTCTTGCCTTCACAGTGACGTCACAGTGGAAAATGCTGAATACCCGAGTCTGCTGAGATGAAAAGGATGGATAACACACCAAATAAACTCAAAACAGATGGAAATACAAGCATCAAAGGATAGATTCTTTGGAAATCAGGTAAGTGATCATCTCTCACGTCCTTCATAGGTAGCTAAGAAGAGAATGATGAGTATTGACATATCCGGCGATATGAGTACTGGGCAAAAGAGTACTGAAGATGCTACTAGATCGTCATTCATTTTCAGTTAGGACTTTGTAAGTAAGAGCATTGTGCAATATGTAATGCAGGCTAAGTTCAAAATAAGCCTATAATGAGCTTTTATTTCAAATGGGGTGAAAAATCTATTTTGACTCACAAACAACTTCACAGGGTTTAACACTGCAGTCAGCAACATTACAGCTATATCATAATTGACGTCTGGGCCAGAACCCAGTGCTCTATATTTAAGAGATGCTGAACATATTAACAAGTTCAATCCTAATCCTAAATAAGACACAAAGGTTACCCTAATTTAATTCAGAATAAAGTGAAAGCATGTATAACAGTGTTCTTGACCACACATTGATCCACAATGAAAGAGAGACTTACAGTTAAGCTCTAAGCACATGTATATAAAGCAACAGGTGTTCGAGGGTAACTCACCAAACAGCTCTGACATGGTGTTTGTGGCTGATTGTGCCATGTCAGTCAGCTCGTTACTGATGGTGGAAATGATGGAGGAGGCTGGAGATGACCGGTCAGAGTCACGGTCAGACAGGGACTTGAAACAAACATCAAACAATACTTATCATTCTTAATAATTTAATGAATACTACCTCCATTAGTTTACATCACTGTCATAATTCCCATAATTTGGCTATCATCATACTATAAAATCTTCAGATTTTCAGCAGTCACTGTCAGCTATCAATTGTCAATCTTGGACGAAGGTGAAGGACACAGTGACTTCCTTGTTATACCCTAATTCTTGTTATATCTCCACATGGAGCAGAGGGTTCGCCATTGACAGTCATGGGGTACAGAACAGCGTTAGTATCGGTTCCATAGCAAGACGGTTTTGCAATAGGAAGTAATCCAGTACTGAACAGATTGCTGAAGTAATTTCTGTTGGAAGACATAGAGACTCTACAAACTTTCCTGATGTCGAACATATCAGTGGTTTTGTCAGCCTTAATCATAGAACCTTACAAACTCTAAAACAAGGCTTCATTGTTGTAACTATCTGAAAGGAGACTGCCTTATTATCATCCATGGCTAGAGCGGCTTGTTTTTAATAGTTGGTCTTGAATTTGCCCAAAGCAATCAAGGCCAAGGTTATGAAGGGTCTACTAACTAAGAAAATAACCTCAATACATTTAAAAGTACCCGAGGTTACGAAGGTTTGAATTTTTTCAGAAAGTTTCAGAGTCCGCTAACCTCTTAAGAGGTTACTAGATGTCAGAACCCACCAATACCTCTGACATATTCTGGCAGTGATGTCACTGAGGTAGAGTATTCGCAAGAACTATCAAACAATAGTTATTCTTGTTAATAATTTACTTTTATTACATGCAAAGTAATCTCACCCACCTCCCCATTAATCTGTATCTTGAATTAAGATTTTGGAAAGAAGTGGGGTTGCTACCCCTTGCAGGAGAGTCAAAGTACTATTTTCTTGCAAAGTGATAATGGATAGCCGATAGCCGGTAAAGCCGACTTCTGAGGAGGTAGAGTATTCGCAAGAAAAATGAAAATGCACAATGCATAATTTTGTAATTTTAAATAAATTGCATATTTATAATACTTATCCTATCTCACTCTATGCATTCCTCCTTCTTTTGATCCCTTGTGTGGAAACGTTTCCAGCTAAGCTTCATTTGCCCAGCCACCCATGCATCACCATGACAACCATCCTAGTATCTAGGTCATGCACTCACATCTCGTGCAGCACGCTGTCTTCGATCTGGTCCATTGACTGCCTCATCATTCTTTTTTCTTGGAGCTGACGTGCTTGTGTAACTGTGATGCGGGGTAGATGGAGATTTACTCATGTTTTCTATGGGTGAATGCCTGCTATAGAGTGATCTTGAAAACCACTTTACGCTACGAGGACACAGTGATGTCTTCAGGTGTAACATACGCTTGTGTGTTTTCGCATAGGACATCGTACTTTGAATTAGGCAAGCTCTGACTTTTAACCAATTCAGAAGGGGTTTCCAGTCAATTAATTCTACAAACAAAGATGTTCGTACGCTCAAATGACGCAGGTATTATTTGTTTGGCATCCAATTTTACGCTTTGTCGAAGCTCTTTTATCGATCCTACCGCAGGATCTAACAGTTGAGAAAAGATGAGGAAACGATCGACAATATCCATAAGAGGATCTTCAAACCATTACTGTGTCACATGCTCAAGATAGCTTTGGGCTGATAATGGAATTTGACACCATCAAAGCGTCCGCACCTTGCGGCGACTTCGTGATGATAGCCTTTTTTACGGTCTCTACAGATGAGTTTTTTGTCCTTCTCTAATGAAGCCTCATTCTGGGAACCCGAATGATAATAATAATAATAATAATAATAATAATAAACAAAAGGGAGAGGCTCTCCATTATTTATTCATGCTCTACATGATAGGATTGCGCAACTGCAGTCAGTGTACTCACAATTTATCTGCGTGGATGGGCTGTCGTTAATTGTTGAGCCAGGACTAGCGGACCTAAGTGGTGTAGCCCTTGGACATTGGTTACGGAGATATTTCTTAAGTAGTTGGAGGCGAAGACTGTGTCGGACTTCCAGAAACATATTTCCATGATAGCACTGAGAGGACAGTTACTATGTAGAGCCATGGTAGATGCGTCAGCTCTTGTCACACGAGGATTCTATGTCTGGGGTGGAGGCAATCCCAAAAAGTTGTAGGCATCGAGTATTGTAGATCGTAACCAAAAGGAGACCCCTCTACGGGAGACCTCTGAAGTACTTCAATCGTCGATCTGAAGATGCAGTGTAAGGAAGTGCTGAATTGGTTGTGGTTGGAGTTGACCTCTCTGGGTGGGGGCTTGTGCCAATGTCAATAGACCAAGCAACTGCTGCCATGGTCATAGATGTAGCTACTGTCCATCTGTCATCTTCCCGAGATCGGTGTCAAAAAGTCCTACGATGAACTGCAGTTGTCGAGTGGGTTTGGTTTCTGTCTTTTCTATGTTGACTAGCCAGTCGAACAGATCAAGCAGCTTCTGCACAAAGGGGAGTTCTGACTAGGGCTTTCCAGTCGGCATGAGCCTGAATGCAATAACCAATGAACAATTCAAAGACAATCCCTCTGATGTGTAGGAACTGCGTAATGGGCTTGGTAAGGTGGGTAAAGAAATTTCTTGCTGTCTCTTTTTGGGGACCAGAAATATTGGTGAGTAGAACCCCGGGGTTCTGGGACTTCGGCCTTAACACTCTAGAGCATGCTTGGATATCAACATGCGCTTAGGCGAGTCTCCGGAGTCCTTCGTGGCGGTGAAGGAGACAGTTCTCTGTAGAGAGCCTCTGTAGCCTTGGCCTCTACCGTGTCCTCTGCCACGAAAAGACCCTGTCTTACCACACACGTTTCTAATTTTTTTTATGAGATGGGTTAATTTGGGGATGTCTCCTGTCCTGCCTCTGTTGGTCCTCCAACTGTTTTCTGTAATCTTAAGAGATCAACTGACACTTGGAGATGTGTTTCTTTAGTAACTTCTTTGGCAACCTCCTAGATCCTGTTGTCAAAAAGTTGGGGAGATGACCAAGGCATCAAGAGTGTAACTTAGTGGTATTCTTCCCACGGACAGTGGTCCCCGACGTCTCATGGCAGTAAGCGTTCCAATCTGATGAGTGATTAGCTCCATCACATCCTCGAACTTGCTCTGGATCAAGTTGAGTCCCTCTGATATAAGCTTCATCCGAAGTCTTAGCGTGATGAACTGACATGCCTATCGCTTCTATGCCTGACAGAATAGTAGTTAGTAATGGTAGGGTCCACCTAACAGTAAGATCCAGATGAGCTAACTCTTTATCATCTACAACAGATGTAACCTATGTGTGCTTGGGCGATAGATGCGATGTTCCCATCTAGTTCTGGAGTCAGGGCTAGATTAGTCATCCCATGAGTTCCTGTATCAGCTATGTTGAATGTCAGGCTCAAAAGCTTGTCCTTCTGTCTGTGGAAGGGCCCGAATGCCTGATCTAACTGCTTTGTTAAGTCCAACATGATAGCCGCTGGTGGTAAGGTCACAGGAGAAGCTGGGTTAGATGTCATCACAAAATCTGAGTTGATGTCATCCTCTGAAGTACTACGAGGTAGATGGAGGGAGTCCGCGATCCAGATGAGGATTAGGGAAGGGTGGACTTGGCCAAAACTGCCTGTAGATGACAGAGGCAATGTCTGACTTTGAGGAGTAGCATCCGACAAAGTAGATGTATTATTATCTCAATACCTTATCTCTGTTCCTTGTGTCCTAGTAGCGAGTCCAGTATCTGTCCTCGACTGTTCGGTTCCTTGATGTAAGACCGTCAAATGGATTGAAGAAGAGATCTGATTTGTTCATATAAATCACTCTGATCCCATTAAGTCGATAGGGGATTCGATACTGGAGGAGCCGTACTAATAACTTGGTTCAACACTGGAGGTAAAGAGGGAAGTGTCACAACTGGAGGGTGCGACTTGTCTGGAGATCGCTGGTCTGTGTGCATCTATCGGTGACTCAAAACGTGAGTGTGAGGAGGGTTGATCTCGTTCCATCTGTTGATCCTTATATCGATGTCGATCTTGACATCGATAATAGTCCGGTGTGGAAGGATATTCAGGGTAGGGCTGATATCGATGGTCTCTGTATTGATCAGTTGTTGGATAAGGATAGTATCTCTAATACCAATATATCTAATGACAACTTTGATCCAAAAAATGTCGACCCTTGGAATGTTGATCTGAGAAATGTTGAGCCGCCGCATGTCAACCCTTGGAATGTCGATCTGACGAATGTTGAAGCCATGGAATGTCGACTTGAGGAATGTTGACCCTTGGAGGGTTGATCTTGGTTCCATGACAACTACTCTGTAGATTGTCGACCCTTCGAAGTCGACCCTTATCTCGGCGAATGTCCTTGGGTCGTGACCGCTCTCTACTCTTTCTCTGTCCAGTAGGCGATGTCGATGCCTGGTTTCTGCTAGAGACTACAGTTGTCGCAGTTGATATTCTGGAATGGCTTGGTCAATCAGAGCAGAGATACGGCTGGTCGATGTAGAATCGACTGGTCGGACTGTAATCTCCGTAATCTCTGAAGTCAAAACATGACTCCCTGTAGATCGGGTCTGAGAGGATAAACATATCTCGGTAGAAAATATACTGTCCATGGTCGGTATCCTTGGATTTAGATCTGCAATCAATCCCTCTCTCCTGGAATTTTTTAAGATAGTCTCTAAATGCCTCTTAGGCCATATAAGGGCATTCTGAACACTGTAAACCCAGTTGACAGACTCCATGACAATCTCAGCATAATTTATGATCCACCAGCGAAAGTATGTGGCGGGGCTTCATGCCAGGCTGGACGTTTGGCTTGGGCCTTACCCATATATATATATGCAATTATTGCCCCCAAACACATAATTTTTAGAGAGAAAAGGCCTAAATATTCTCTTTAAAAAAGTACCAAAGAAAAGGAGGAGAATGATGGGGCAGTCAATAGACCAGATCACTGCACGAGATCCAGGTGCATGACCTAGATACTGGGGTGGTTGTCATGGTGATGCTTGGGTGGCTGGGCAAATGAAGTTTAAAAGCTGTAAACTTTGATCAAGGACGTTTCCACACAAGGGATCGAAATAAGGAGGAGGAATGCATAGAGTGAGATAGGATAAAGTTAAACATTTATATATTATTTGATACTGATCAAGATGTTTGAATGAAATAACATATGGTGACCATTCAACTCACCAAGTTTCAGACTTTTTAAGTTTTTTTTAAAACTGAAATCAGAGTCTCAAACCTGGCTGCCATGTTGAAATGACAATTTGATGCACTGAACAAAATTGATGCTCCTCATCATAACAAACATCCACACACACTAGTTTTATCAGCTGAATCAATCAAGCCATTGTAAAAAGACGGCAGTGCCTCTGTGGTCAAGTGGACAGAGTCTGCCTGGAGAGCAAAAGGTCAGTGGTTCGGTCAGTGGTCATACCATGCCTGGAGCTCAGCATTAAGGGAATCAAACAAGGTGTGTGTGTGTGTGTGTGAATATGGTTTTACGCCGCTTTTAGCAATTATTCCAGCAATATCACGGCGGGGGACACCAGAAATGGGCTTCACACATTGTACCCATGTCGGGAATCGAACCCGGGTCTTCGGCGTGACGAGCGAACGCTTGAACCACTGGGCTACCCGACCGCCCCTCAAACAAGGTGAGTGAGTGAGTTAATATTTAATGTCACATCGGCAATATTGCAGCCATATCGTGACGAGTTCTCAAACAAGGACTGATCAGCGCAGAGTCAGAGTACTGTGGCTGAGTGGGGTATCCATGTTAACCATGACATGGTATCTCAGTTGGACAGCACCATAAAACCGGCATAAGTCTGGCCACTTACATGCATGCATACACGTTGCTATATAAGCGCAATAACCTGCAAAAGTCAGAAATGCAATAAAGTTTTTGGAGGATGACACTGACCACCACAGTTCCATAGTATCAGTCTCTGATCTGCTACACAGGCACAAGAAGAAGATATCAACATTGTATCTGCCATAGTAATCTCTCCTTAACAAATACTGAATCAATAACAACAGTGGACTCAGTGGTCTGTAGTTCGGTGGAATCAGGGTCAGAAAGGACCATGAGAGTATTTGAGTAAACTATTCTACAGTATGTAAATGCACTCAAGTATGGAGTTGCTCCATACCCTAAAACCCTTCTTGGTAGATCCACTTGAGCCACCACTTGACGTGCTACCCCCTCTCTGCTGGCGATTTAGCAGGCTCCTATTTGCGCCTGGGAGATTAGGACTGATGCGTGGTTTCTCATATGTCTCAAACGCAGAGTTGTTGCTCCGTATCACACCTTGGGGTAAAGGGGACTTTCTGAGTGGATCAGAGACAGTTTGTGCCCAACCTCCACTATCTGGTCGACTGCTGCAACAACAACAGTTGTGAATAGTCTTAACAGTAGGAACAGTAGAAACTGATTTGTTTTTACTCAAAAACATCTGCTTTCCCCTCCTTTTTTTGATACATTAGTTAAACTTGTTACTGTAAATGTGTTTGCACATGAAAAAAATAGAAAATTACAGACTGGAGAGATAATGATTTCATGCAGAAAAATTCATTAGGTGATTTGGTGAGAAACAAACGCAACTTGTTTGAAACTTAGTTCAAACTGTTTCCATGGAAACACAAGAAATTGAGAATAATGAAAATTATGAAAGACAATCATTGAGCATGTAGTCATTGCACATGCATAGTTTCATGCAAATATCGATCATTAGTTATCATTGGTAATAATGCTAAGAATACTACCTCTATTACATCTCTGCCATAAACCCTGTATTTTGGCTTCAGTCACACCAACTAAAATTTTCAGATTATAGTCCTCTTTACTGTCAATCACACACAAGTAGCATCGTAACCACTCAAGCTATGACGTATGCAATGACGGGAACCTCCCTTTTTTTCCACATCTAACTACCAGAGAAAGATGAATTTGGGAGGTGGGTGGGAGTACTTCTGATGTAATAGAGGTTGTATCCTTAGAATTGTTAACAATGATTACTATTGTTCGATAATTCTTAATAAATCTCTACCTCTATAACATCTCTGCCAGAATATACCAGAGGGATCCGGTGGGATCTGCCTCAAGTAATTCCCTGTGTAATTGACTGAAACTTCTTCTGGAAACCATTATTTACTTATTATAATCCTAACTCGAGATAATTTCCTCTGAAATTCCCCAAGGACTTGAAAATCAGAAATGTATCAAGAATCAGTCAAATATGTGATACCTTCACTAGAATTTCCATTATATTTGCTGATCTTGTTCGTAATATTGATGTCATTTCTAATCTATTTCTGCTTTAAAACTGCATTTCTTGTTAAATTTGGATTTGTGACACTGATACCAGTGCCGATGTCACTTCCGGTTGTGATGTCACTTCAGGTTTGTCACTTCCCTTTTACAAGGTAATGACGTCTCTTAAGGTTTATTTCTACCCAAAAACGTTATTTCCTGATTAGATTGACCTGGTTCTACCATTTCCGGTGCTGATGTCACTTCTGGGTATTTTCTCACTTCCGGTGATGACGTCACTTCCGGTCCACTGGAGGCCCCTGCTACTCAAGGTGCTTCTAATCCATCCTACACCTAATAGACAGAATAATCAAAAGGTGTGCTCACCCTCCCGTTGCACGTCACGCAAGTAAAAACTGGTGAAGGTGTTTTGTGAGCCCCACTGACAGCTAGAAACTACTTGTTCTACTGAGACTGATGTCCATGTAGCGAGACTTGTGGCTAGGGCTTTGTTTTCATGAGCTGAGCAGGATCCGGGACATGGTGGGGAATTCTGAGCTTGTGTATAATTTGCTGCAACGGTAGCTTTTAGCCAGCCTGCTATTGTAGCCTTGGTGATGTCCTTGTTGGAATGAGTCTTGCAAGATAAGAAGAGTCTCCGTTAACAGTGCCGATAGTACCACAGAGAGATTCAACTTGTGGAACATACGAGGTATTCGAACATCTTCTTGTAGAAAGGATCCCTTTTTTATGTTTCGAATGGTTTTTTTTCCAATTGATAATCCATCATGTTGAAGTACAGAGTGAAGAGCAAATCCCATGTTGGAATTTATTATCCTGAAGTACATGTAGTAGAATATCCGCTACCATAGGGATGGATATAGCATTAGTTATAATCCCTTGTCGTCTTCTCCACTGGACAAACTTGTCCCATCTGTTGTCATATATAAGGGAGGATGAAGGTCTACATGATCTTGCCACAGCTTGTGAGGCAAGCTCAGAGTATCCAGATGTCTGCATTTTCTGCGTGATAACTTCCAAGTGGTTAAATGTAGGCTGGACAGATTGTGGTGGAAAATGCTGGACTTGGGTTCTCGTAACAGATCTCGACAGAGAGGTAACTGGATAGGTTCTTCCATTAGTAGTCTTAGTAGTCTGGGAAACCACGCCCTGTTGGGCCATATTGGAGCTATCAGTATTATTACGCAGTCCGTCTCCTCCACCTTGTGGATGACCTTATCTAGGAGAGACCATGGTGGGAATGCATAAGCAAATAGACCTGTCCAATCCATCGATAGTGCGTCGATTTGGTGAGCTCTTGGGTCGGGAACTGAACTGACATAAACTGGAAGTTGGTAGTTCTGGCATGTGACAAATAGATCCAGGTGTGGTGTGTCCCATAACATGGTTATCCAAGCGAAGATCTGTGGATGTAGTGTCCATTCTGTTGCCACTATTCTCCCCTGGCGGGAAAGGCTGTCGACAAGGTTGTTCAGTTTCCCGGGTTATGTCTCGCTTTCATCTGGCAATGTAAGGAGTCTGCTAAGGCAAACAATTGTGTAGTCTCTGTCATCAGGGAGCTGGATCCAGTTCCTCCCTGTTTCTGGATGTAGGCCACTACTGTGGTGTTGTCCATGGCTATGAGGATGGACGATTGGGAAAGATGTATCTTATATTCCAGGATGGCGTAATATATGGCCTTCATTTCCCTGCAGTTGATATGTTGGTTCTTCTCTCCGGCGTTCCAAGATCCCTGTACTGTGAGATTGTCCATATAGGCTCCCCATCCCGAATCTGACGCCTCTGTGAATAGATGGTGTTCGGGCGTTGGAGAAGTCAGAAGAATGCCACTCATCACATGTTCTCTGTGGGTCCACCAATGCAGGTCTCGTTCTAAGCATGGCAACTGAGCCTTGAACTCTAGGCTGTGGGATCTTATAGAGTTGATCCATGTCTGTAGAGGACGTAGCATCAGCCTTCCTCTGAAGGTCATATCCTGTAGAGACGCTAAGTTGCATAGAAGAGACTTCAACCACCCCAGAGACTTGCTGGGTTGACTTGAAAGTGATTGAATCATCTTGATAGTCTTGTCGAATTGATCCTCTGGTGGGCATAGGTATCCTTTGTTTAGTTGTTATCTTGCTCTGATATATATATGATGTCTTGAATTGGAGTGGTCTCGGACTTGGATGGATTGACTAGGAAGCCTAGTTAGGTCATAAGTTGGACCAAGACTATCATGTTCTGATGTAGCTGAGTTTTCTCTTGGACTGCAGCTAGGGAATTGTCCAGGTGGCCATGGATTCGAACAAGCTGGAGGTGGGCAAATTTGATGACTGGTGCTGTAATCCTGGTGAATAATCAAGGGGCTATTGATATCCTGAATGTTAAGACCTGGAACTTGTAACGTCCATTGATCGCAAAGCGTAGATATTTCTGTGACGATGGGTGTATCGGAACATGAAGATAGGCATCCTGTAAATCGAGGCTGATAAGCCAGTCTCCTGTCTTCAGCGTCGACCGTAACTTCCGTACGGATTCCATCTGGAATTTTGGCTGAGGTACCAAGAACTTTTTGTTGAGGATCTTCAGGTTGATTATCATCCTCATTTCAGTCGTATTTTTCTTCGGCACTAGGAAGACCGGAGAATAAAAGCCTTTGGTGTTGTTGGTCTCTGTTATTCTCTGAATGGCTCGCTTCTTTAGTATCTTCCTGACGGCAAAATCTGCTGCCGCCAACTTGGCTCCGACTAGATAAAATCTGCGTCCGATTTTTAAGGTAGGATGTTTCGTGAAAAGCAGTTTATACCTGTGAGCCACAACGTCTAGAATCCTGTGGTCGGGTGTAAATTGCTTCAAATTTTTGGTGTATGACAGGAGGCGCCCTCCAACTGGTCCCGGAGTCAGCATCATGTTGAAAGATGGTAGGCGTAAATCGCAGTCCATGGACATAACTAGGTCGAAAGGATCTATAACACTTTGTCGCTTGTCGTACTCCCAACTCAATTGAATAGAATCTTTCCCAGAGGGAACAAACTTCTTCTTAGGAGGCTGCATAGATGATTAAGCTTTGTGGTCCCAGGGACGCTTTATTCCGTAGTATCTTGTCTCACTTCATCTATAACGTGTCTCAATTTCCTGTTGAATGTCATGGGAGCTGATATGGTTTGTGACATTATCAACCTCTTGGTTTGGTTAGAGACAGCTCTGGAGCAGATCTGAGAAAAGAGTTGTTGACGCTGTAGCCATAATAATTGTGAGGACATCCAGATTTGGGAGGAGAGTAAGTCTAGAAGGCTACGGATGAGTCAGTCTTGATCAGTGCTAATAGCCATGGGTGTGCTCCAGTTATGCCTTCATAAGATGATTGTAATGGTGGAATGATGTGTCTGATTCCGGCTACAAACCAGTTATTGTAAGAGCCAATGACCATTGAGTATCTGGAAACCGATGTCAGATCCTTAATCCTCGAAGGAGGTAACGTGTGATTAGTGTTAGGGTTGAGTACCAGCTTGTTGAAGTCCTCGTCCACACTTGGGAAATCCGGAAGTGGAGCCTCGTGTGTCCTATATAACTTCTGCTTCAATGGAGGTAAGGGTAGTCGTTCATTATGTCTGAGCTTGTGTAGACTATCGGACATCTGGTCTACTGCCTTGCCTGCGTAGCTAGGCCAAGGCAATGTCTGATGAATGTGTTGAGACAATGTAGGAGCATGAGTGAGTGAGTATGGTTTTACGCCGCTTTTAGCACTATTCCAACAATATCACGGCTGGGGACACCATAAATGGGCTTCACACATTGTACCCATGTAGGGAATCGAACGCGGATTTTCGGCATGACAAGGGAACGCTTTACCCACAAGGCTATCCGCCCGCCCTGTAGGAGCATGACATCTCCCACATTCCGGCATCTGGGGTGGTGAATTCCCTGTCACAGGAGGTTGGAGAATAGGCATATGGTGGTATAATTCCTCTATCAGTTCGACGAATGTGTAGCCCGCCCAGTGTTTGCGTTTACGACGTCCAATATACAAATATACGCACTGAAAAAAAAATAGGACACCAAAAAACAAACCTTCACGCGTCCCCTTACGCGTTTTTTCATTTTGAAAAAAGTTCACTTCACGCAT